TTATGACTATTCTGGATAAAGAATGTTTTGAGCAGAGGTGGATTCAATTCCCCTCCCTCCTCTCCCCCCCCACCTCTTCATTAAAAAAAGAAAAATATATTCAAATTGAAGTGCGAGAGTGTAATTTCCGGTCATCTAGAGATGCCCTAATCATAAATTTTCTTACCTCAGCCCCAACCATGGTGGGGCTGAGGTGGGTGGTTCCTCGGTATGTGAAAGACCATCCCTGGTTCACCTCTCTTTTTCGAATTCCTGGATTTGCCACTGTTGATTTATTATATACGGTAATTATTTTTGCGCTTATTTATAATGCGTCTATTGCAATTTTCACTTTATCCTCTCAAACAGTCCTAAGTACGTTCAGAGTGCGCTACTAACTTCACAGGAGGATTCGCCCCCTTGACCCCGCCCGGGTCATACGTAATTCGTATAACGGCTCCCCCCCCCCCTTTCAAAATCCTGGCTACGTCCCTGGTTGTGGTTAGGTATGTCACAAAATAACGTTGTATAGGAACGTGTAAACGTTGTGAAATTATGTTCAGTACGTATTTATGGTTCTATAAAATAAAGTTTTCAACACAAAATTGTAACGTTATTGTCACGTTATCATAAAGTATCACTGTTTGCTACTGTTAAATCAAGAGCAGTTTGTCAATTTTTGGAGTGTTTTTCCCACGCTTTGCATGAACTAGTTGAGTAGACGCGCGTATATGCCTCTGATTTGCGGTCCATGCTCTAATTAAATTGTGTCCCAAACCCATACCAAAATTTTCTATAGAATTCTATAAAAAAAAAAAAATTCTATAGATTTTCTGTATAGTATTCTATAGATTATCTATAGAAAATTTTATATAAGTTCCATAAAATATTTTAAACAAATTATATAGAAAATATATAAAAAATATCCTATACAATCTCTAAAGAATGTCTATACAATCTCTAAAGAATTTCTATACAATTTCTAAAGAAAAGTAGCTAAATTCTCTATAAGAATCTATAGAAATTAACAGCATTTCTATAGAAAATAACAGTGTTTCTATAGAAAGTAACGCTGTTATAATTTCTTTTCTATAGAAAACTATTTTCTATAGAAATTCACAATACTTCTATAGAAAAGAACAGCATTTCTATAGAAATTATTGCAGATATATAATTTTTTCTATAGAAAACTATATAAATCTCTATGGAAAATAACAGCATTTTTATAGAAAATAATACCGATATAGTATATTTTCTATGGAAAACTGTATTATTCTCTATAGAAATGTACAGAATTTCTATAGAAATAATGCTGATATATTATATTTTCTATAGGAAAAAAAAAACCAGCATTTCTATAGAAAATAACGCTGATAAAATTAATTTTCATAGAAATTCACAGGGGTATTGCTAAACCCCGCAAACCTCCAAAAAACAGTGCAAACCCCATTCAAACCTTGTGGTAGTGATTGAATCATGTAGTGTAGGACTCAATTGGTATCTCAGTAAAAAAAAATTATAATTTTAACAACCTGCTTTTTGGGTAAAAAGGCCATTGTTTGTTAAAAATACCTAAAAAACACCGCAAACCTCCAAAAACACAGTGCAAACTCCATCCAAACCTTGTGATAGTGATTGAATCATGTAATTTAAAACTCACTTTATTTTATTTTTACTAAGAAAATAAAATATTTTGTCATATAGGAAGAATTAAGAAATAACAAAGTATATGTCTATATATAACACTTGCCGACTGAGGGCGTATTTTCCTATCTGTATTATCACCTCATGAATATTAACTTTAATAATTAACACAAACAATTACAATAAAAAATGGTTTATAAATTGAACTAAAAGGGAAACTAACATGCGAAAAACATGTTTTTTTTTCAAATTTTAATGCATTTTCAGGAAGCTTGATGGGTAATTTTGGGCAATTTTTGCTGAATCTTAATTTCGACCCAGTCATTGGGTATATCAAAAATTGTGAGTGGTCACGCTGCTCCCATCTGGAATGATGATTAAAGTAGTTAGGTTTTAAGTTACACTAACAATAACTTTAAAATGGTCACCATAATCATAGGAGGTCGAGATCCATGAAAAGTGGTATATAAAGATGTGGGTTACCCACATCTTTATATTTGCACAAGTAATTAAAATTGTTTATTGAGCAGATAATCTCACTGATAAACAATTGTACTACATTCGGCTGGTACATATGAACTTCTCTTTATTTTCTTTCCAAAAAACCTATTAAACGTTAACTAGCACCTCATATCGACATTTGAATGGTGAAAATCGGCTCAGTAAAACCCATTTACCGAGTACAAATTTAAGTTAATAGAACCAAGGTAATTCAACAAAAGGACGCACATCTCCGCTTTCGAACATAGCGCGTGCGTACAGTCCTTTGATCTTTACTGTGGCATCGACAATCCGATACTAGTTGCGAGTACAGCCGTCAATTATTAGTCTATGCGTGCCATTCGTTTTATGGTGTTAGTTTTTAT